TTCCTGCTTGCAATCCAATAGCAGGGAAAAACTGAAAGCCCATTAAAAATCACTGGCCTTTATTAAATGTGTGTCACTAAATTATGCAGTGATGCAGCTTTGCTTCAGTTTATTACTTGCTAGAAACTGATGATAAAGCTCTGTTTGGCCACCCTGGAATTGCAAAGAGGAAAAAAGGTGTTGGCTGAGCTCCCCACCCTGGGGAGGAAGGAAGTTTTGTTTCATTTTCTTTTTGCCTTGAAGGCTCTCCAAATTAACGCCCATTTCTCCAGTTTTTAATAATTTTTTAACAGTTTTACCTGCTGCCGGTGTCACTTTGATCAGTGTGAGAATGAGACAAGAGGTGAGCGTTAAGCTAACCCTTGTGAACTCTTGGAAGGAGTATTTTTATTTCACAGTGTTTTTTTTTTTCCTTCAGGAAAAACCTTTTAGATGCCTTGTGATGCCTTCGGTGGTAGCAGAGCCAGTCCAAATAAGCTGTAGAGTAATGCAGAGCGAGTCTCATACGATGAGAGGTATAGGAGAGAAAAAAAATCTCCTAGTACTTTTCTGTTTCTGTGCTTAACAGCAGAATAAATGGGAGGCCTGTTACCTTTTATGTGAAGAGGCTTGGCCTGCTGAAATATTTTTTCAGTTAGTGTGTGCCACATTTTTCAAATGTGATGCCCTGTATTCTTAAGGCAAACTGCAGTGATAGGTTTTGCAACATATTTGCTCCTGCATAGGGCAACCCAAGGTCCTTATATGGAATAACTTTTCAGGTGGATGCTTTCCTATTAGGTAGGTAGCTCATGTAAAGTTGATGGCGTGTAACCTTGAGAGAAAGCTACAGCCTTTAAACAATTCCTGCACCGGTAAACCCCACAAAACCTGTTTTCCTATGGATTTTATCCTCATGGGTAGGAGTGTGTTCTCTGCTCTCTGAGAGCGGGTGGAATGGGCAACATGGCAGTTTCCTCCTCTTTGCTTCTGTTTTTACCTGGACACTTGTTTTCACAAAACTTGTCGGAGTTTGTTGTTTTTAGCACTCTGTATGGCCGTCAAAATTGGCTGAAAATAATGAGGAGGTTCCAAAGTGAAAAGTAATGGCAAATGCATTTTAACATAAATCTCTTCCTACAAAAACCTATCCAGCCCCCTTTCCCACCCTGCCTTCACATTTGTACTAAGGTCCGCTGTCAGTTAAGCCTGTGTACTGGCTCTCGAAATACTCTCCAATTCAGTTTTTCAGGTTAAGGGTGAGCTTTGCCTAGTTGAGATGTATGTATAACATTTCAATCCACCTTTGAAATCCTCGTGTCGGGTGTAAGCTGGTGTCAGCCTTGCGAGTGCTTGTGCTCTGCACTGTGGGCAGCAGGAGCTGAGAATCACAAGGGTCGAGGCCCCTCCGTCATCCCCCTTAGTACGGTGAGTCTTTGAGAACAACTGCTGGTCAGGCTGATACTCATAAAATAAACCCAGAGTTTGGGTCAGCATAAGAATTCACTGGAGGCCTTCCGTATTATGGGGAGTGGGGCTTCACTGACCCAGGTTTAAGAGGAAAGTGCCCTGCAGCCTGAGTTGTTGCCGTGTGGCTGATGCAGTGGTGTTTCTCTTTCAGATGAAGTGGACTACAGTAACTTTGGCACCAACACGCTGTCGAGGAAGAAGAAGGCCCTGGTGACGCTCCGCAATGACAACCTGCGCCGGCGCCCACACATCAACATCAGCATGCCACACGACTTCCGGCCCGTCTCCTCCATAATCGACGTGGACATTCTTCCCGAAACGCACCGGAGAGTGAGGCTCTACCGACACGGCTGCGAGAAGCCGCTAGGATTCTACATCCGCGACGGTACCAGCGTGAGGGTTACTCCTCACGGGCTGGAGAAAGTACCTGGTATCTTCATCTCCCGCATGGTGCCCGGCGGCCTGGCGGAGAGCACGGGCTTGCTGGCCGTGAACGACGAGGTCCTGGAAGTCAACGGCATCGAGGTGGCGGGAAAGACGCTCGACCAAGTCACAGACATGATGATCGCCAACAGCCATAACCTCATTATCACGGTCAAACCGGCGAACCAGAGGAACAATATTATTCGCAGCAGTAGGATGTCTGGCAGCTCTGGCCAGTCCACAGACAGCACTGCCAGTCACCACAGCTTGCCCACGTCCCACGTGCTGCAGAACTTCCACCCCGACGAAATGGAGAGCGACGAGGAGGCTGACATTGTCATTGAGGGCGGTCTCGAGCCGCAGCACATCCCCAAACTGCACAGCCTCACGTCCAACAGCCTCTCCCGACTCACCGGCCGCAGCCTCAGCCACAGGCTTCAAAGGGACCTGGTGCTCAACAACAACTCCGGCCGAGAAAGCAATGGCAACATCCACAAACTACTCAGTTCCTTAAAAACTGACCCCCGTCACAGCCTGGTTATCCCCAGGGGAGGCATCGAGGAGGATGGGACCGTCATCACGCTCTAGTGGCAGTTCCTGCAGCCCTGCTCTCAGTCTTAAGTGCCAATTGGGACTGTTGACTCCTGCAACGTGTGGTGCACAGACCAAGGAGAACTGATATTCGCGTAGGCCTCACACGTGCAAAGGATGTTGCTTTTTAGGAAACATGGCATCTGGAATTAGACATAAAACTGTCACGCACTGCAAAATTTGTCAGGGGAGGCCAGCGGGCAAAACCTGGTTTATATCCCAGCCCTGCAATAGTTTTAGTTTGTGTAAATCTAAGCAATCTTATAGGCTACCAGTGGCAGTGCTACATACCTGGGTTTGAATGCATGGGTGGATGTATTTATACATGCATGTATATATGAATTAGGTTTTTAATAGTAATAACAGACCTGCCTATTTGAAGTGGAGTCTGTTTTTCCTCTAATACCAGTTTAAGCAGAGTGCTTTGAAATAGCCATCTGTTCTTCTACCGTTGCATACAGACCTTCCACTAACTTGTTTACACCACATTTACCATGTTATGTCTAATCCAGACAAGCTCCAGAAAAGTAGCAGTTGCCTCCTCTGGTGGAACAAGGCAGGGGGATGCGCAGATGCATTTTTTTCCAAACAAAACTGACCAAATGAAACATAAATGAAATATATTTTTTTAAAGCCTCAGGAGAGGAGAGTGGTGGATGTTGATGCTGTTATTACTTTGGGATTAGCACCACCAGCTGGTCAGAGGCAGTCCTGCCTTGCGACTCGCACTGTATGGGAAAAGACATATAGAGTACCAGGAGGGTTTAAAAATAGATTCAGCTCCATTAAGTGGGAAGTGCATTCTTTTTTCGATATTTATTAGATAATACCTCTTTTTCGAACTGCTGGCTTTCCTATCATCTCTTTTTTTTAATGTATATCATGCAAATTTTAGGGATATATGTATATAAAAGGCAGCAGCAAAAGTCTAGCAGATGTTAGGACTGTGTCTCACACCTCAGAACCAAAACAGATCCTGACTGTATGTTTGGGTAACCTTAATCCCCAAGGTCTTTTCTTACAGAAGACTGGTTTACTGCAATATGTGTGAGGGATGTTTGGCGACTTTCAAACCTCACTTAAAGTAGTTTGTTATTTTTTGATTCTTAAAGTAATCAAGAAGCTTAATATCTGCACACAGTTTCTTGAAATTTAATATACATTGGATGTTTGGGATTACCAGAAGTCTTCATTGGATGCTGGTCAGTGGCTAACCAGTGACTATTGAGTCAATAATTGCTCATTTCTGAAAACACCATGAATTTAATAAAGTGGTCTAATCTAAAATATTTTGTCATACTTTGATCAGTGTAAGGAACAATCTAAATGTTTTACAATGTATTTTTCTACTTTTAGCTTGTTTGTCATTTTCTTTTTGTTTTTTTTTTAACTTTGTAGTGCATTAAAGCTTTTTTTATATGGTGGAATAGACATTTCATTAATAATGTGTAGATGTGAACCTTTGGGAGTCTTGGTTTGAAAAATCTATATTTCGGTTTGGAATTTGTAATGACTGGGCAAAGGATTAACTGATGATTGTTGATTCAGAGTTCCCGGGGAACATGGGTTTTTCTGCTCATTATTTAATATGTTTGGGACATTGAACTTAGGGCGGTTTTAGATTTGTTTTAAAACTTTCTATTTTAAAATTCTTTCACTTTAATTAAACCTCTCGTAGATATCAAAGCAGTTAAAGCTGTACTTTGTTCAGCACAGTAAGAATAGCACATTGATCCCATTAGTCTTAAAATTGTACTGTAAACCCAAAGGTGTGGGTTGATTTTTTAATCTGATTATTGGTGCAGTAAGATAGGAATAGCTGGATGTGCTGCAGTCAATCGGACCACCTTATCGTGACAAATTTTTATACCTCAAATAGGGCTAGTTTTATAAAATAAGTGAGTTTGGCTGAAGTTACCTTATTTAACTGGTGAAAATGTGACCTGTCTGCAATAAACCCTGAACAAATCTTAACTTCTACATCCCTTCTACTTCCTTTCTCTCCCTTCTCTGCATTCTTTCTCTACAAGTATTTCATTTACTTGCTGTCAGAAAGATGTCTTCTGTTTCAGCTCTTCAGGTGCTAAACCATTTTAATAATGACTTTCTCTGTACTAGCACAGACATTGATTCTTGTTACCTATATTAAGCTGCTTTCCATATACTTCTTCCCTGTACTGCTTCCCTATTACACTGATTTCCATGGACAGCGAGTGTTTTGTGGTGCTCATAAGAGGTTTTTTTTTTCAAGTCACATGTAGTCTTTGAGGGCTTAAGGTAGCTCTGGCTCCTCAGATAATCTTTAAGATACCTCTGTCTCCCCATGTGCCGCCAAGCTGCAGACCTCTCCCAGAGAAAGACTGAGAAGGACTGCCCAAATAAAGCAGGGATCTTACCAAAACCTGTATACTTAATACAGTTATGCTTCCTAGGGTGAATTTCACCCATGAGATCTGAGTGGGAAGAGGGAAAGTATTTTACCCACAATTTCAATTATAGCTTGAATGACAAAGTACTGACAAAACCAGATTTGCAGGTAACAACGTGCAGTGTAACTGCTAAGGCTCGCAAGCATTTTGTGCTCATTTGCAAAAAGGGAGCAGTTTTGTCTAGTTGTTGCATACACTCTGCTCAGTCCAGCTCTTAAGTTTTCCTTGAAGTCTCTTGTGTGCTGGACATCTTTTTTAATATGTACTCTGCTCTCAAACCAGACACACGCCTCTTCTACCTGTCCCCCTCCTAAAACTGCTATAGCTGGAAAAAGCAGGTAGAAACGAGAGTGACAAGATTTGGACTGAAATGCATTAAGGAACTTGCAAGCATAAGATTAAATTGTTTAACTAAAACACCTTTAAAATGGGTGACTGAGAGAAGAGAGGCAAATTAATCCTAGAAACTCCCATAAACTTCCTTTAGAAGGAGCAAGGTTTCTTCGATGCTGAGAGAATTGTATTGGTTTTCCTTGAAAGGTAGTAGCCCAGATGACACTTTGTGCTCAGCAACCATGTAAAATATAAGGACGCAATCTCCTTGTAAAGCACCTCAGAAATTTTTCTAAACTTTTTTGTTTTTTAATGTGTTGCCACCTCCGTCTTTATGCATTGACTAGCATTTTGCCAACGCTTTCCACCTCCCTGAGGAGCACCACCATGCACATGGGGACCCGAGGTGTGAGGGTAATTAATTTGGTCCGCTTTGGGGAAGGCTTTGAATTCACCTCGGCCTCGCGTGGAGCTGGAGCAGGGCTCGGCCGCCTGAGGAAGGATGCAGCAAAAAAAAAGCGGTGGGAAAAGCAGGATCAAACCCCGGGCCCCGGGAGCTCACGGCGGGACCCGCGCGCGACGCGCCGCCCTCCCGGCGGCAG